ATAGTACATCTGTGACATGTTAGTGCCATATGAACCAACTCGGACTCTGAGGAGCACAGGGACTTGACTCCTGCTGGTGCCCAGAGTCAGGACTGAACTTGGGGAGGCATCGTTTCAGATTCATGCAGCTATAATTTGGAACTCTGGAGTATTCCTGACAATGTGAGACAGGTTCCTACTCTGACGATGTTCAGATCCAGGTTGAAAACAGTTCTGTTTAGCTGTGCTACTGTTATTGTTAAATAAGAAGATGGCATAGTTTGAAATATACAGTAGAGGTATATTATATTATTTTAGGAGATAAACTGCTCGTGCAAAGTGAAAAAACAATTTTAGTGGTTTGATTCTCTGCATGTGCATAGATCTGTTTGCTCCAATGCTCATATATTTTGCACACACATAAACATTGTATAAACATACCCCTTAATGCAGCTGCAGCTTCTCCCAGACTCAACCTCATAAAGCCCCCAGACAAACTGAGTTTAAGACCCCTGCTCTAGACACTCATAACACTGATAATATGAACTGTTAAATGTCTATTGTGTGTTGTTATATATTAAAATTGTATTAAGATCATTTAAGAATGTGTTATATCTATGTTTTATGTTTTCACTAATTCCTAGTTTGTGACTTCCTGTTACATACAATGGAAGAACAAAGAATTTGGATTCTGATTTTGATGAGGACGTGAGACTAGGCCCATCCAGTAGGAGGTGCTTCTCCCATCGCACTTAGTCTGAAAGCAGGTCACTTCAGGAGAGAACGTCTCTGGACTTCACACAAACAGTTTAGTAAACGCCATATGCTCCCACTACTTAATAACCTGTCTGATGCAACTCATTACTCACAGTCGCCTGACAGAATCCATGTCCAGCAGAGCAGACTTCCCATACATCAGCCCACACCATGTACTTTGCCACTTTTTCCTTTTAACTTTACATTTTCATCACTAATGCAACCTCTGTGGCTGACATCGTCCTTACTGCAAGATATCCATTTCATAAATATTACAAATACTGCAGTGAAATAAGACCTGATCCTATTACTAATGAATTACTACATCCACCTCTTATGCACCAAGAGGTTTTCTGCACTTCTCTTCTGTACAGCCACAGCTAACAAACCCTTCAGGTGTGCCCATGATGCTGCAGTCTGCCTTGGTAAACTTTAGATCTGGTCAGAACTGGGAGATCAACGCTCATATTAAATCAAATAGAGAGTTCTATAAAGCTGCCTCTACAGATAGTGATACTGGACGACAGATCAAAATGCCTCGGGGTTTGAGTTAGGGTTTGTGCCAATTTCAAAAACAATTTCGCAAGATTAAAGGTTTTGGGCTGTTGAACACTGGGCTGTTAAACACTTTACCTAAGGCTGTTAACAAAATCAACACAGACTAGATTAAGGTTAAGGTTAATTTAAGTGTAAATCAACAACCTGCACCATGTGAGGTAAATTAAGTTACAGCAATAGAAATTAATATAAGCTTCCTCCCACATCAAAAGTCCTATATACGATTCATATACATATTTATATATATATATTGGTCAAATATACCTATGCAGTTGTTTCCTATTGCTTGAACACTATAGACACAAGCTTAGACCAAAGTTACAGAACCTGCAAACTAACTATTTCTTAAACAAAAGTACTGCTTTTCACTTTCACTGTAGGACCAGGGTCATCTATAACAACGACAAACCCTGGTTCACTGCTAAACTCCGGCAGCTCAGGAAAGCAAAGGAGTCTGCTTTCAGGGAGGGGGACCGCAGCGGCTACAAAGCAGCTAAATATCAGTTCAGAAAAGAACTGAAAGCAGCCAAGTCCCGGCACAGAGAACGACTACAGGAGCAGTTTGGTAACAACGATACTGCTTCTGTCTGGAGGGGCCTACGGGAGATCACCAACTACAAACCCAAAACCCCCCCTGTGCTGACATTAAACTAAAGACATTAAACAACTCTTCCTGAGGCTGCACCCCCGCAAAGCTCCTGGCCCGGACCACGTGTCTCCGGCCACTCTGAGACACTGCGCCAGTGAGCTTACTCCTGTGTTCACGGACATTTTCAACTCTTCTCTGCAGTCCTGCCATGTCCCGGCCTGCTTCAAATCCTCCATCATTGTCCCCGTCCCGAAGAAGCCCAGGATCACAAGACTCAATGACTACAGACCTGTAGCACTTACGTCTGTCGTCATGAAGTCATTTGAACGCCTGGTTCTCTCCCATCTCAAGTCCCTCACCTCCCCCCTCCTGGACCCCCTGCAGTTCGCCTACAGAGCCAACAGATCTGTAGACGACGCCATTAACCTGGCCCTCCACCACATCCTACAGCACCTGGACTCCCCGGGGACCTACGCCAGGGTCCTGTTCGTGGACTTCAGCTCTGCCTTCAACACAATCCTGCCATCCAGGACAAGCTCTCCCAGCTCAACGTGCCCGATTCCACCTGCAGGTGGATCACTGACTTCCTGACGGACAGGAAGCAGCGAGTGCGTCTGGGGAAGAATCTCTCGGACTCTCGGATTATAAATACAGGAGTCCCACAGGGCTGTGTTCTTTCTCCCCTGCTCTTCTCCCTGTACACCAACCACTGCACCTCCAGCCACGACTCTGTGAAGCTGATCAAGTTCGCGGACGACACCACCCTCATTGGACTCATCTCCAACAACAATGAGTCCGCCTACAGGAGGGAGGTGGACCGGCTGGTGTCCTGGTGCAGTGGTAACAACCTGGAGCTGAACGCCCAGAAGACAGTGGAGATGATTGTGGACTTCAGGAAGAGCACTGTCCCCCCGCCCCCACCCTCCGTGATGGACTCCCCCATCACCTCTGTGGAGTCCTTCCGTTTCCTGGGCACCACCATCACCCAGGACCTCAAGTGGGAGCCGACCATCAGCTCCCTCATCAAGAAGGCCCAGCAGAGGATGTACTTCCTGCGGCAGCTCAGGAAAGCCAAGCTGCCTGCACAGATGTTGGTGCAGTTCTACACGGCCATCATCGAGTCCATCCTCACCTCCTCCGTCACCGTGTGGTTTGCTGGAGCCACAGTCAGGGACAAACAGAGACTACAGTGCATTGTGCGCTCTGCAGAGGAAGTGATCGGCCGCAGCCTTCCATCGCTGCAGGACCTGTACGTCGCCCGAGCTCGAGGCCGGGCTGGTCGTATCACAGCCGACCCCTCTCACCCTGCACATGGACTATTCCAACCACTCCCCTCAGGCAGGAGGCTGCGGTCCATCAGGACTAGAACCTCCCGCCACAAGAACAGTTTCTTCCCCTCTGCTGTTGGACTCTTGAACACTTCTTAACCTGTCCCCCCGCCCTTTATTAAGTCACTTTACTGCCCATCATACGTCACTTTACTTCACTGTACTGCTGTCACCTTACATTGTGTGCACCATGTGCACTTGTATATTGTAAATAGTAACTGTAACTCTATTTTAAATTTAAATTTATTCTTTAGAAGTGTTTTTTATTCTTATTTTTATTATCTCTTTTTGACTGTTGCACTGAGCCAAAGCAATTTCCAAGTCTGTGACCTCCTGTTACTTACGTGGCAATAAAAATGATTCTGATTCTGATTTACTTTCTATTTCTGCAACACACTCTCTCCCACTCACTACATAAGACACTTTGTTCATAAATGCAATCATGTGTTATCATTGGGAAAACACGTCTATTAAAACTAGCAAACACATGGTGTGATTGAAAACACTTTTGAAAAGATACACATTTGAAAAGACTTACATTTTTTTAATTTTCTTTATTTTTTCTTTATTTTTATTATGCCTTCTCTTCCCTTTACCTCTCTTTCTGACTGTTGCACTGAGCCGAAGCAATTTCCAAGTCTGTGACTTCCTGGTATGTACGTGGCAATAAAAATGATTCTGATTCTGATTCTGAAAACGCGACACACATCAGCCAGACATAAACAGGCCTCAGTTTAGCCATTTTCAACTTTGCAAGTATGGAGGCAGGAAGAGCAAGAGGTAGAGGTAGAGGAAAAGGAAAACAAGGAGAGAGGAGGACGTGGTTGAAGATATTTCTGATGATATTAGAGCAACTTCAGTGGATCATGTGTTCAATCATGGCCTCACACTGAGGGAACCAGAGTGTCCAGCCACAGCTCCATCATCAGGACCTTCAGATTTAAACATGTCTTCAACTCTCTATTGCAGACTGTATCTACAGTATTTACAGTACTTTACTGCATTGGCTGTACTGTAAAGCATACTGTAGTACTGTGATGTACAGTATTGAGTTGATATTATTTGTAACCTTTCACTACTTTCATTTTTGGTTGTTGATAAACCTTTGTTGAGAACAAAAACAGTTCCATTGAGCTTCACAGAAAACTAACTGATAAACAGAATACAAACAGTGAAAATGAAAGACTGCAGTGTTTTATGTAAAGTACTGTAGTGTGTTGCGTCCAATCTGGAAATGTGTTCACATGATGCAAGTGTGTATCGTTTTGTTGTCAGAGTTTCAGTTTGACAAATGATAGTTTATTTTTGAGAACAGCGTTTGACTGTTCATTGTAGAGTTTCATTTGGACCCAGATGTGAATGGTTTATGTCCCAGTGTTGTGTCGGGTTATCTTGTGTGTAGAGTTTTGGGACAATTTAAGCTATAGGAAAAAGCTGTAATGTTGTTCTTTTAGATAAATATTTACTACTGAAAGAATAATCTTAGTTCAAACACATCTTTGTTGTCTCCTTTGAACAAACTTCTCTCGGAACCTTCACATGTGACTCATGCTGATGGCGCATTGGTTTCGTCATGGCCCACCCTGTTTGGCAGCTGTCCATAGCATATGATGCAAGCAAAATGATTACGAGGAAACAATACTGAACGTTGCACTCCTATTTATATCGTACCACCTGCTCAGAGAGAAGGCTTCATAAATAAGGCATGAGCTGTAAGTGAGGCAGAAAGAACCAACTTGGAAGTGTGGGTGTAATTGTGAGTGAATGGAGGAGATAATGTTGGTACTTACAGGATTTGCAGGGCTGAAATCTTGTCTTTGAGCACTTCCTGGGCTTTGTTGAAGTCTGATAACATGTTCTGGGTCTCTCTGCTGTGCGCAAAGCTCAGCTCGGACAACTCCCGCTCATGTCTCTTCAGCAGCTCCTGTTCGTGCGCTCTGAAAAAAGCAGGAACACAGTGTTTGAAGGCGAGAGCACGGGTCGTAGTCGCAACAGACACAAAAACTGTTGGTGTGAAGAATCGAGCGTATTCACCGTGTCCTTTATACTTCTTTAAAACCTAGTTGCTTGTTATCATGCATTTTTGGCACCACCTGCATGAGAAAGCCAGATCTAGTCATACATCTGAAGCTAAGCAGGACAGGGCCTGGATAGTACTGTGATGGGAGACTAGGTGCCACAGTGGGGCAGCTGGGGAAGTAAAGTTTCAAACTGTTGTTGTGTCCTTCAGCAAGACACTTCACCCACATTGCCTAGAATGAGTCTGGTTATGGCCTAAAGCAGGGGTGCTCACACTTTTTCAGCATGCGAGCTACTTATAAAAGGATCAAGTCAAAATGATCTACCTACTACAAAAATGCAAATCATATATTTCAAAAAATATTCTTTATATCTACAATGTATGTTTATGTACATGAAAAACCGCATGAGCCAATATAGCACAACACAACACAATTACCGATGTACATTTTTTGTCATTACCCGAGTTTACTCTTATGACTTGCACTGAATTGAATCGGCCAGGGATGCATAGTCCGGAAAATTGGTGGTAACTCGCTGACAAGTTTGTCGTGGTTTAGCTTTCCTGCACTGAGCGCGGTTGTTTGCGCATGTGCAGTCACCTAAGTGTCAGTAAAACATTACTGAGTAAAACACAGATGTCATTTGACTGTGGTGCCATGTCCATGTGCCATGCCTGTTTTTTTTTTAAATCCAAATATTTCCCCTCCTCAGTTTATAAAATAATTTGCATCCACACATCTGCGTTATCAATCACATTCGTAACATTCCAAACATGTGCGTCTCTTACGTCCTGTCCTGCTTTGGGGAAAAACACAGAAGTGGGCGGAGCTTTGATGCAGACGCCGGTAACGGCACTTTTACAGTCATAGAAGACACTCAGAGTAAAGAGTAAGACGTATGTTTACAAGCACTGACCCCGTCCTCAGCCCTGATTTAGTCCTGGTTTAGTCCTGGTTTAGTCCTGGTTTAGTCCTGGTTTGGTTGTTTTCGAGCGTGAGTCCCCGCGATCACTTTGCTGCTCTCTGATGTGGAGCGAGGATGTTCGCTGCTGCGAGCATCTCACAGCGGACAGTTTTTAAGGTAGTATGATCCATGCTTCAGTGATCAGAGGAATTTAGGGGGGTACTGTGGCGTGCGAGAACGCAAAACTCTGGTTATCTCTGTCTACACACAAATGCATTAACGGAGTTTTCAAAAATCTCCACTTTGCCCGGAGTTTTTTGTATATATTCGTTTAGAATGTGTAATTTTTTATTTATTTAATGCGATCTACCAATACTACCTTTGCGATCGACTGGTAGATCGCGATCGACGTATTGAGCACCCCTGGACTAGAGAGAGGCCAGAGAGAGAGCAGAGAGAGATGGGTTATTGTCTATGCTAGTGGGGGGAGAGGGGAGGTTAGTGTTCAGCTGTCTCAATGCCTGAGGATAAAGGCTGGTGGACACAGGCCTGAATGGACCTGTACCTTCTACCAGAGGTCAGCAGGTGGAACCGACGGCCAGCAGGTTGGAACAGGAGGTTCTGCACTTTCCTCAGGCAGCGTGCGGTATAGATGAGACTGATTTCTGGTAGAGTAGTAAAAAAAATTCTCCCTGCTTCTTGCACCACCCGCTGATATGCCTGGCAGTCTGCATTAGTGGGGCGAGAGAACCACACTAAAATCCATAGGTCGGATGATGCAGTTGTAAAAGTTTACCATCAGAGATATATTGCTACTCCTCAACTTTGTGAGACAATATGTGTGTCCCATATGAAAAGCTTTCTCCTGAAGAAATTGTTGTTTATTGTGTGTTTGTCCTGTTCTGTATCCAGTTTCATTTAGTCAGGCTATAGTTCACAGTACCAGTACAGCAGAGATATGCTTTCAGTAGAGGGGTAAAACACTAGATATACTGTAGGTTCACTAAAGCTGACCTATCGCTATATCTTACTTATTGTTTTTACTCCGGATTATTGTTGAAGTGGGAGCTCTCAGGAAAACTGCTGACTCTGCAAATGATGAGAGTAGATAAGACATTATTGATATCAGCGCCTTTATAGGTACTGCTTATCGTTCTGGGCCCTATTGATTCCTAATGCATTGGGAGTGCAGATAATGAGCTGTAGTTTAAAGCCGTGGCCTTTTATTTGTTATAGCAGATTAGGACTCCTGTTTGTTATAATGTGGGGATTATTTATTGTTACAATGCCTTTGAAACAGTACACTTGGAGGCATGTTTCTGTATACCCCGGCCAGTCTCATTAGGTCAAAGATTTCAGTGGCTGCAAGGAATTATTATTATTTATATACAAGTATTGTTTTAATGAGTTTTTAAATGAGTCCTTGTTGTGTGTCAATATATTTTATGTCTATACAATTTTGTACATTTTGAGGTTGAGTCAGGATTCAACCTCATTTCGTTTGTCCTTGATTGATAGAAACTTCATGTAGATAGATACTTCATGTATCTATTTATCTATCTCTATCAGTATTATGAATGTGTCCTTATTTCTTTGTCTGATTAAGTAAGTAAGTAAGTAATCTTTATTTATATACCGCCTTTCACAGACCAGAGTCACAAAGCGGTTTACAATTGTTATTAAATAGAATAATTATCCATCCATCGATCCCTCCATCCATTTTTTTTCACCTTATTCCATTTCTGGGTTGGGGGTGGCAGTCAGAGCTGCACCTATTACAAATTATATACAGTACACCATTATAAAATATATAACATATGGATTATAATTTTTATCTGAAGTAACTACATGTCAGTAAAAAACAAAACATAAAACCACAAAACGTGTTGTGTGTATTAAAACTTGCATCCTAAGTAAATGTAAAATAAACTATATTTTATATCATATATTTTATAAAATATGCTATACCTATTATTTCTAGGAAAAAAACCAAGACAACGGCTTAGAATTTCTCAGGAACAGAGACATGTAGAAATACAGGATTTTATCCACTGAGAGCTTGAACGTTGAATAGCACATGTCCATATGAAATAGAGTACTCTTTAGGCCAGGGGTGCTCAATACGTCGATCGCGATCTACCAGTCGATCGCAAAGGTAGTATTGGTAGATCGCATTAAATAAATAAAAAATTACACATTCTAAACGAATATATACAAAAAACTCCGGGCAAAGTGGAGATTTTTGAAAACTCCGTTAATGCATTTGTGTGTAGACAGAGATAACCAGAGTTTTGCGTTCTCGCACGCCACAGTACCCCCCTAAATTCCTCTGATCACTGAAGCATGGATCATACTACCTTAAAAACTGTCCGCTGTGAGATGCTCGCAGCAGCGAACATCCTCGCTCCACATCAGAGAGCAGCAAAGTGATCGCGGGGACTCACGCTCGAAAACAACCAAACCAGGACTAAACCAGGACTAAACCAGGACTAAACCAGGACTAAATCAGGGCTGAGGACGGGGTCAGTGCTTGTAAACATACGTCTTACTCTTTACTCTGAGTGTCTTCTATGACTGTAAAAGTGCCGTTACCGGCGTCTGCATCAAAGCTCCGCCCACTTCTGTGTTTTTCCCCAAAGCAGGACAGGACGTAAGAGACGCACATGTTTGGAATGTTACGAATGTGATTGATAACGCAGATGTGTGGATGCAAATTATTTTATAAACTGAGGAGGGGAAATATTTGGATTTAAAAAAAAAACAGGCATGGCACATGGACATGGCACCACAGTCAAATGACATCTGTGTTTTACTCAGTAATGTTTTACTGACACTTAGGTGACTGCACATGCGCAAACAACCGCGCTCAGTGCAGGAAAGCTAAACCACGACAAACTTGTCAGCGAGTTACCACCAATTTTCCGGACTATGCATCCCTGGCCGATTCAATTCAGTGCAAGTCATAAGAGTAAACTCGGGTAATGACAAAAAATGTACATCGGTAATTGTGTTGTGTTGTGCTATATTGGCTCATGCGGTTTTTCATGTACATAAACATACATTGTAGATATAAAGAATATTTTTTGAAATATATGATTTGCATTTTTGTAGTAGGTAGATCATTTTGACTTGATCCTTTTATAAGTAGCTCGCATGCTGAAAAAGTGTGAGCACCCCTGCTCTAGTCTCTCTGGACTTTACATTGCTGCATTCATTCTGTCACTATCTCCATGTATCTGTTACTGTGCTCTCTCTCTGATCTCTCTCTCTCTCTCTGGTCTCTCTGGACTTGACATTGCTGCATTCAGTCTGTCACTATCTCCAACTTCTGTTACTGTGCTGCTGTTGCACTGATGCCAAGATTGGTTAAATGTTTACATTTGGAGTGTATTTTTGGGGTTTATGCACTTTACTTCAAACTAGATAGTGCTGTTCGACTGGTGCTGTCCAATAATTATTTGTTTTAATCGCGATTAATCGCAGGAATGTCATTGTTAACTGACAAATTAATCACAAATTTGTATCTATTCTTAATGTCCCTTGAATATCGAAAAAGTGATCGGCTTACAGTGTGCAATTGTTTTTTTAATTGAAAACGTGTTGTGTTATATTTCACTCTCACACTTGCAAAATGTCATACAATTCAATGGTGTCAATAAACAGATGTATAACATGTATAATTGGGAACAAAAAATCCCCTTCACTTCCCCTCTCTAAGGGTATCAGCCGTGTGATAACTAGTTCACAGCAACAATACACACTACAGATAACTTTGGTCTTGTCAGTCGACCCATCTGGCAACTCTTTGAAACGAAACTTTTCATTCAGAAGCTTGTTAACATCCATTTCGGCATTTGGCGCTTGACAAACCAGTAGTCTCTCTCATAGCGAGATAGCAACAAGACCAGAGCATATCATGGAGCAAAACCATAGACCGTATAAATTAACGGACGTAGTCAAGCCTATCTCCGCCGTCCAAACTAATGGGCCAAAAATTGTGCTCTACTGGAGC